CACTCTGTTTTTATAAGCGCTCCATTTGAATAAGCGCCCCGTTTAATTAAGCGCCACTCAAAAAGTGCAAAAAATATTTTAAGCGCCCGGGCTCTTATTCGCGCGAGTACGGTACTGTAGGCCTACCATGATTATTTTCTAAACTTTCCAATCCCAGTTTGAAAAAAAATTAAAACATGTTAATGCCTTTTCTTTGTATAGTGTGTATTATTTAGCTTGGTATTAATCATTATTAAGTGTATTAGATTATGTCAAAATTAATTTTCTCACTGTAAGGCTATAACCTTCATCACTTTGCATTGCATACTTTTTAACATACTATAGCATGAGTTAATTGTACTAAGTTACAGTATACAGTTTAACTTGTTGGAATACTTTTTGTAGGCAATTAATTTTTTGCACAAGCATCCCTTTTGACCTTTTGTATTCATTTATATTTTTGCTTTTGATATTTGCGCTTTTTGTTTTATTTAGCTTTAATGTAAATTATCATTTATTGTTGCAATGATTTTTTACAGCAATCAAAACAGAAACTAAGCATGTACTTGTCTTTAGTCACATGTTTAAAACGATAGTCTGTTTAAAATGATAGTTTGGATATTTCGGTGACCTAATTACCACAATATCATACTGTTGCTTTTAATTAGATTTCACTTTTGTGTACACGTTTTCTGTATGGACGAATGTTTTTCTCAGTCAGTGATCTATTTTTCAGCGCTTCTGATGGGGTTTTTCTCTATTTTTGTATAGATTCACTACGTAATTTGAAACATGTGATGAGATTTTTGCCATGTACTCCCAATATTTAAAAAAAATAGAGCTCTCTCGGAAAAAAAAATATTGTATTAGTAAAATTCAGTATATTTTATCTTTTTGAAATGCAAAATGAAATCAGCAACTTTAGACCAGCACTGCAGTAATATAATGATATTATAAATTTATAATATTCATACATGAACAATTTGAAACTTTTCATCAACTGGACTTATTTTACGCTTCCTGGATGATTGACAATATATATTTTAGGTCTTTTATTTTCAGTAATAGTAATTTAAACCAATCATATTATCAAATTTTTTTTTCCCTCCAGAGCATGACTTTAAAATATATGGTGCGTCCTATGTTTTCAACTAGTATAAACCTTCTTAGTTACTTTAGTACGAAACTATTCTTGACCACAATTTAGTTGACCCTTTTAGACAGAACAAGTCTGTAGCCATTGCTGCAATATATGTAATGATATTACTTGGTTTCCAGGCTATCTAATGTAAGATGACCGGTAGCGTATTGACCCTTTCAGACTGAAAAAAGGTCCAACAGGGTGGCTTAACTTAACTGTATTGCCATATCATCAGCACTGGTTCGAGTGGCACGCTCACATAACAGTAGTTCTGGTTGTAGAACAAGTCTTCTCCGATAGGACTTCGTAGACTCAGCGAACACAATTGGTTTGTTGTGATAAAGAACCCAGTGCATCTTTTGAGATGAGTAGGGGGTTATCCTGGTCCAAACAGCCCCTGTTGTGGACAGACCATGAAACAGGTTTACATAGGTAGTAGCGCAGACACATAGTGATCCTTTGAGAAGAAGGAGGTTACTGTAAGAGTGTAATAAATTACCATCCTTTCATTACTGTAACATATTCATTACATAGAACATTCTAGAAGTACATTTATGTGATCAAAAAAACAGTGTAAACCACATTGCTAATTATATTAACACATGACACCATGTAGAATCCAAGAGTAATATTTGGAAGCTTCTGGAATCTTGGGTACTCTAGAGGCAATATAAGCCTATTGGTTTATTATGATGTAATGTGACCAATAAGGAACTTGGGTAATATAGAATGCTCTGGAGTGCTAGAGCTAATGTATATAAGGTGAGAGCTTGGTTTTTCTAGAAGCTCTTTTTGAAACATATGTTTATGTGAATGTTGTGTTATTTTGATACCACCGGATTCTTGTTGGAGTTTATACAGAATAAAAGTTTATTTGAGAATTTTGTTACAACATTGTGAGCTGTGTTTATATTTCATATGTCAGGGAGAGGGATTCCTAGTCATTTCTATACCGCTTGGAAATACGGAAATACGTTAAGTAGGAATTCATGACAAAGAGCTAGTCCACACATCAAGCTTTTTGGGACTACTCTACTCTATAAATCAAACTTTACATTACAAACCCATTATAGCGTGCCTACCGTAATATTGCCGTATAGTATTGCAGCCTATGAAAGGGCTAAGTCTAGTCAATGATTGTCTGCTAAAAGAACCATCTTAAAGAAGCTAATTTACCTGTAATTCATTAAAATTACATTGACGTTAATTAACTTTTAAAGCTTTCCCAGTATAAATTTATTGTAATCAATCAGTAATATTATATGGAGGACTTTATGAAGTGAATTTATAATGGTAGCAATGATCACTAGTACACTTTGTACAGAGTGTACGGAGTGGGTATAGCATTTATTGGAAAAAATCATTTTGCATTTGCAGCTTTATCTCCCCAGTAATACAGTAGTTAATGGTAAATTAGGTTGTTATAGCCAATAAAGTGTGTTAATGGTTTCATTAATTTTTAAAATTTAGCCATACATCATTAATTTCGTGAATAGGAAAATAATACTACAGACTCCGATCATTTTATTATATTTTCATTTGAAATAAACAGTTGAAAGAATTTGGTTTATACAATAAAATCTATCTAAACGAAGACTAGTATGTAAAAACATTTTTGACCTTTATTTTTGCCTAAGCCTCACAAAGCGGGTTTTGGAATTAGGTGGTTGGGCATTTAACGGAGCTGTTAGCATAAAATATAGGTAATTGGCTTTATTTGAGGAGCTGCAGTCCGATTTACAGACTTTCCTATGAAAATCCTTGAAATGTAGAATTGCTGATAGTAATAATAATAATAATAATAATATGAATTTATATAGCATATTTTCAGAATGCTGTTCAGTACTCATTAAATAAAAATTGATAAAATACAATAAAAACAGGCAGCATTACACAATCAGATTACAAATTATTATATAGAGAAACTACAAAAATATACTTATAATAGTGTAACTGTATGAACAGAATTATTTGTTTTCTCATTTTTGTCTCATTTTTATTCCATTTATCACTAAACATATTATAATAGTACCACTTAATTAGTATTAAAATTGAATAAATGAGGATTTCACCAAATTTATCAGTAAAAATAATTTACCGAATACCACTAGCTATAATAAGAAATATAGTCCTCATTATAATATTTCAATTCAATTTAAATTTCAAGAACTTTGAAAAATAGGAAAGATACCTTCTTTTTGAGAAACTTAAAGTATTTAGAAAAAATATTCTGACCAGTCAACTTCAATCCTGGCAATAGATTATCTCTAATTCTAAGGTTTCTCTTAATCACTCAAGGTGTTTTAAAATCATAATTTGCCTAAGGCAATTATAGCTTTCTGGATTTAAATTTGCTTTTGAAAATGTGTGCATATAAATTTAATGAACTTACAATATAATATAATATACATTATATAAAAATGTATCATTTATCAAGTTTAACTATACTTTAAAGAGAAAAAAAAATGTGAAAGGCTTTTTAAAGGTGCAAACATACTTACTGTATTCTTTACAAATCTGAATACAATAACCTTTCACTTTTAATTTCTTTTTAGTATAAGTTCAAAAGAAAAAAGTGTTCACTGTGTGTGCATTAAGTCAAAGTTTTTTTTATGGTTAATTGCACATACTTGTGTCCACTGTTTGCCCTAAACCATCACGTCTTTGTGCCTCTGGTTCAATTCCCAGTTGTAGCAGTCTTTCGAGAGAGAAAGCCGTTTCTCATGTGTATGGCATATATCTTATTCAGAAAAAGGAGGAATTGTCAGTTGATACACCATCAGCGGAGGTGCTGCACTGCTGTGCTCTCTATTTTCAAGAGTGAAGTTTATATTACATAATTCTTTATTATTGTTTTACTTGTGCATTACATCATAAAAAAAAAAAAAAAAAAAAATCAAAAAAAAAAAAAAAAAAAAAAAAAAATACTACTACTGTACTTGGGACCTACTAAAATCTTGAATTGCAAGGTGCTGTAAAAAAAGAGTAAAGGTTGTAGGAAGAATATTGATGATTGTACTGTAAATGAATGCTGTTTCTGTAATGAAATAAGTTGAGCTTGATTTGCTGAACGGAATATTAAAGGTTAATAGAATTTTGATGTAGCTGTTAACCAGCGTGATTGACTGGGATGGCATGTTCCGTGGACATCTCATCCCACAATGATAAATCATATAGACATTTAAGATTGTGGCCGTCAATGAACATTAAAGATTAACTGTCTCTTTTGATGAGTTAATAATACACAACAATCAAATTAGATATTTGAATTACTTACTTTCAATGCTATTACCTGAATTTTGAATATATTTTCCTTTTCAAAATTAACATACATATCTTGTTCTTATTAATAATTTTATTATTTTTACAATAAATATTATTTTTGAATTTTGGTCATATTAGTTTTATTATAATAATTACTTATAATTTCTTTTATTTTGTATTTTTATTACTGTAATAATATGATTTTCTCAAAAAATTGTTTCATGTCTTCTTTCTCTTGTGCTTTTTCTGGGAACCTCTATAGAAACAAGTCCTTGGACTTAACAGGGATATCTCCTGCTTTCCATATTTGTTAATGTTTCAGTAAAAAAAAAAAAGCATTAAATATTAACAAAAAACTAATACATAAATAATACCACATATTTGTTGAGTAATACTTTTAATTTGGTTGGTAGACAATTGAAAGTCCTTTATGGTACAGTATTCTCTGGTCACAGGGAGTACTTCAGATTTTAGTAATTTAATTTTAGTTCGTTGTAATTTATTTTTGCTGTAGCGCCTTGAGCACTACTGCTGTGGATATGTGCGCTTTATAAATCTTATTAATTATTAGTACATGTACTGCACCTAACATTTATCATTTTATCTTTTTTTCCAGCCATATATTGTAAAGGAACCAACTGGGAAGATACAGAAGTCGACAAATATGAAGCAGAAGCAAGGTACAGAGATATGCGTCAACGATTTACCAATTGTACCCATGTGAAAGGAAATGTTGAAATTACCTGGCAGCAAAATACATCGCTTAGTTTCTCATTCCTTGAAGACATCCGAGAAGTGTCGGGATACGTGCTTGTCACAAAATCATATTTACCGTATATACCACTGCCTAATTTGACTGTAATACGAGGCGAATCATTATTCAAAGATAACGCTTTATATGTTTCTTATAATTACAACGAAAATCGTACCGTCACCAATGAACAGCAGAATATCGGAATACTTCAATTACAACTTGTCTCATTACAAGGTGAGCTCTTTCAAGTTTTTTTTTTGGTTGTCCTTTTCATCAATTTATTAGTTTTTTAATTCATGTATATTAACTGTTTTTATAATGAATTTGAATTGAATTAATGTAAATACTGTACAATTACTAATTTTTATTTTAGCTTTCTTTTGCCAATAAAACCAGTAATGAATTTTGTGCTTGGCTGTGTTTGCACTATGGGAATGTGTGAGGTATATCATTATTCAAATTATTTAAATAATCTTTGTTATATCCTACTGTACAGGTTAGTTCTAAAGTTCTCAAATAATCTTCTGCTGTTTAACAAGCAGTGGTGGAAATTCCACGGGGGCGAGGGAAGGCTCCCCTACCAAACTATGAGTTTGTCATTTCAGATCTCAGAAACATAATCATATACATTAAAAATGTTTGTGCGAGATATTTTAAAATCTATTAAGTTGGTCATCTAAGCTACTAGACTATGTGACATCTGGGGATACTAAATTTAAGTTATTTCCCCAACCCACTACACAAACATCTCCACCACTGTCAACAAGGAAATCTGTATGTTTAAAAAATTGATGTAGCTGTAGCTTGAAGCTCAACAAAAAAAAAACAAGAACTCTCTCTTCACCATCTCCCGGTCGATATTTTACAAAACACATTTTGAGATCATGAACAAATTTAACGAGCTTCCAAGCGGTCTGGTTGACATTTTTCGGGCATTCATATACATTTCTCTTGTCTCTGTTGACACTTTGCCATTGGCAAAATCCGAATGACTTTGAGAATTCAGTCGGATGCTTTTGTCAATATTCATTGATGTTTGAAAAACAGATTTACTTGTCCCGTGTTCATGATTACATAACTACACTACAATATATTACTTATTGTAATTTATCAATGGATATTCTCTGATGCATCAGGCAAATTGGAATGGCTTATATCACCATTTTCAAAGATTATTTCTAAGGATTTGTAGCGGACGTATCGTTTTTACACTACTGATAGACAAACATCTAATATTAGATAAACATCTTCTTTACAGACGATATTCACTGAAGTTATAATGACTTGCAGCGGAGGTACCTGTAGAACAAAATATAACCTATTCCATGTAGGCTGTCACGTATTCGTGTTGCATTTTAGAGAAACCTCCTATGAATTTTAATTGATCCTAAATTTGTTTCCTGTTATTGTGTTTCATTTATCTCGTCTAATGTAAATTTGATGATTTAAGTTGATTTATTGTACAATAAGAAATCTCCAATATATAGTCAGATAAAGTCTTGATAACTATTAATACTCTTATTTACTGTAAAGGAATGTGTATTTGAAGTCGGGAAAACCTAAAAAAAACTTCTTTTTGTTATTGCCTGATGCTGAACATAAGTGGTGTAAAATGCCCATTCCTTTAAATTTATTATTAACTTTGGGGGTGTCAATGCAAAAAAAAGGGATGTTATTGTAATTATACATCTTTCAATGACATATAAATGAATCTATTCTTACTTTAATTTATTTTGTTAAATTTTGAAACACAAAAGAAAGTTTTAAATAAAATATGGATTGATAAGCACAGTATTACTAGCAAAATGATTTTAATTTTAATTAACTTTTGAAAACAATAACGTAATTAATTAATTAATTTCTAACATAAATTAATTTGTTAATCTTTTTACAATGGTTATGATGTCTAAAATATACAGAACGTACTGTAATTGAAAAATACAAATATCACATTATTATTAATTCCTATACAACAGGGATGGGTATAAAAATCGGTCGGAGTGCCAAAGTGAATTTTTGATCTAACACCGATGTTCCAGTGAGCTTTCAAAACCTCCATGCACTGCTTTTACACCACTTTATTCTCAGTTTCATGTGACTTTTTACATATGATTGGTGTCGGGCCCTTAAAAACAAGGTGTTTTTTAGCTATGTAGCCACATTTTCGCGGACCACAAAAAATTTGCTGTCGGGCCACATTTTGCCCACCTGTGTTATACAACTTGATGATATAAGAAGACTAAACTTTAGTGACTTGTCTTTTTTGTGTTTAGTCTGGTGACAAATGCTATGTTTACTTTTGCTTACATTAATGTATGTAGCATCCCATTCAATATGTTTATAGTGGCAAAGTAGATTAACATGGACATGTCAGAATTCACATGAGCATGCAGTAACTTTCATGTTTGTTGAAATATAAACAACCTGATCTCTCCAATGATTGGCTGAAAGTGTAGTGGGGCGTGTCATTAGTTTACTGTAGCTACTGTAGACCTTGCACTTTTCTAGTCCTCAGATATATTTATAAGCTCGCCCCCAAAAATGAGCCCAATTTTGTTTTAAAGGAACAGAAAATAGCAGTAGTGGCACCAGGTTTTGCCCGACAGGGGGGTCAGTGGTCCCTAACGGGAGGGGGGACGATAACCTCGATGAAAAAAGTGGGCCTGTTCGGGCGTCACTCAAAATCTCTTGAAAGTGTTCCAGTGGTCGAAGCCCCCAAAAAATATGACAATTTAGTGGTTTCAACGGCTTATTTAATCGGTTTTGGGGTCTACTAATACAGGTATGTCAAAATACATATACATTTTTTTTCTCCTGGATCAATTGTGGGTTTTCTCCCCGACGGTGGCTAAGGGCCCCCTCCCGCTGGTGCCACCTCTGGACAATAACAAAATCAATTTGTAACTGCATCTTTAATCATTACTATCTTCATCTACAGTACTGTAGTTTTGCTTACAATCCTACAAGGAATTAACCAAAATGAATTATAGCGTACTACTCTACCTCGTATCAAATTAGCCAACGGCTGATCTGGGATTCTGCCATTTTAATAGATTTTTTTAAGGGCATTTTTGTTCATTAAATGGACTCGGGCTATTAATGGACAGGGAAAATGTGCTACTTTTGAGGCGATTGTTCATTAGCGGAGTTAATGCATACAAAAACATGATCTCAAGTATTGATTAATGTTTAATAGCGAGTTTTATAATCAGACACAATGAGTGATCTGGGACCAAGCTATTTACTGTATCTGTGGTATATGACACGATATACTGTAGATACTGTTTTGTTTAGTCAAAGTGCATCAATACACAATAGCGTGTCAGAAGAATGCTTTTGGCACCAACTGGTTCAAATTTGGTTTCACCTCCAGACGAATGTACTCGTCAGTTTTCGAATATATTTACGCATCCACACTTGCCTCCCAATAACATCAAACCGTCCCAGGGAGCTAGACAAAATATAGCAACAAACCATTCAACGTACAATATAATTTATAAGTGACAGGTATTAAGCTTAAATTTATTTACCGTAGTCGATTTTCAGGCATCCATGATTAATAGACATAATTAAAACTGCATTTAGTAACTAGTTACACAAATACTTGATGTTTCTTGTTGACATGAAATTTTGCATAGCATCAGAATGTAAAAAGCAATGTTTATAAAAAAAATAATTGTGAAGAGTCCCTGGAGCTCCACACTGCCCCCTCCCATTATCCTCTGAGAGTGGCACCAATGTTGTTTCCTACACTCTCTTTAATTTGCTTATAGATAAAAATAAAATACGGTAAATCTGTTTTCATACTTTGTCTAGGTACTAGTTTTTGTGTCTATGCCACAGTAAACAACACCACACATTTCCTGATAACTGAATCCCCATGTGAATACTGCATTTAGTAACCTGTACATTAAGGCAGTATTATAGGCCATATACACACGCTCCCTTCGGGAGCCTATTTTTTGTATGGATTACGAAAACAGACACCTAGGCTTTTGAAAACATAGACACAGGCCACAAAAACTCTGTTTTCAAGTGGGTCTTATGTCGCTGTTGTCAAACATCTCCAAAATTGGGTTAATACTTCAGTAAACGAAGCAAGTGTAAAATCAATTTTATTATTGTATTGAATACTGTCCTGCCAACTGCCAGTGTCATAAAAAAATGGCACCAAGTCTTGGAATGCACTGTCACAACGCAAGCCATAAAGCCGGGTACTCGCTGTGCCTACTGTCATCGGCTGACGTGAAAAAAGGCACGCACAATGGATGATTTTTTAATGAAAATTAGTCTCTGTCATCGACTCTCCGCAGACGGCATCGAGTCATTAAGCTCTGACAGATAGTAGAGATCTGCAGAGGAGATCTGTTCAGCAACAGACAGTCGTACACCCCAGAGGGTTCCCAGCTTTAGTTGCCTTGATAGTATCTGTATTTTGTAGTTTGGTACTATACGTCTGCTACTTTCTGGTGATGCCATTAGTGACCTGTAATTGGTCAAAATGACTTCCATGTTAAGTTCCGCTCTGCCACAACTTCCTGATTGGTAGTTTTCTAGAAAGTACCACAAACGTCATCATTGACCCCTGTCATTACCACGACTGTGTATGTTTGACCGAGTGTAAGCCCAAAGGGCCTAGCTACCAAATTCATTGAAAATCGCGGGGGATAGATGGGGGAGGGAAGGAAGGGCGGGGGAGGGAAGGGCTTATACTCGGGCAATATGCCACCCATGATGTTTTGGATGGAAATCCACACTACAGCATATGTCCTACAATTATTTCACTTACCCTGGCTGTTAAAACGACATATGTGGCAAAGACAAGCCAAACCAGTCACTCGTCGCAAAAATCGATTTTGAGTTATTAATACAGTGTTAGAGAGTAAAATAATAGCTATAAAATGGTAAAAAATCATTCAAATCG